ATGAATATATGAAGTTCATATATTTTGAACTGCGGTATTAGATACGTATGATGCACGATCCTCGAAGTAGAGAGCGCTAAAACACATGCAAAAATTTCATCATGCTCATTGGCTGAAAAATACGTTAATTAATCCCAAACACTGTTGAAAGTTGAAATCGAGTGCAGAAAATAAATTTTTCAAAGACTTCAAATTGCACTCGCCTGTATTCGATTGGCCTATGAAAAATTTATTCGTGCTGATTTAGCCCAAATTGATCTAGAAATCATGTAATCACCTATACATATAGATACGTATAATTTGTGAACTTTTTAGTGTTTTTATCTAATCTTCAAAGTTTTACAAAAATTCATCTAATCATGGTATTTATTGAAACGATACCTTTTCAAGTTAGACGTGTATTTTAGTTCCACGAAAAGTGGTTATGACTGATGAATAAACCCTTAGTGGGTGTAACCATTAAAATCAAAGCTAAATGTTGGAGGAATATTCTTCGACAGTTTGAAAGAGTAGCCAACACTCCCATGAGAACCTGACGTGCAACTGCTAACGAAAGATGAACCTGGCGAGAATTCTAGGGTAAATGGAGGGAAAGCCGACAGGGATAGCCTTACAACGGACTTGAGGATCCAGGGCGGCTACGTCATAAAGAAAACGGGGCTTTACACACGATCTCTTCCGTGACGGTAATATTTTTTACGAACTGCAAACGTCCAAATCGCGCGATACTGCAAGGAATGCTGACTTTAATCATCTGAACAACAAGTTTTAAGACAAACAGACAAATACAAAGACCAAATAATGGGGAAATTTTTGCTTTTACTAAGTAACTCAGATAATACACACCTTCAACTTAGTAAATATTCCTAGCAGTGAAAACGTGAGCAATGATTTTCACATACAAGACTTGCGCAACCTGTCGTTATTTACGTAATCTTCAAGTTCTCCGACAGTTGTTTGGTGACTCAAAAACTTTAATTTGAAATAATAAAAAAAATTGGTTGCAGAAAACATCCCGCAGAGAAGCGAAAATTGAATGGAAGAGGAAGGAATAAAAACCTTTACCCACAAAATCAATTACTCGGATTTTTTGTTTTTGTCAAGGTAAGACTTAATGTAGAAATTGGCAAACAACACAAGCAGGGAGACTGAGTAAGCCCCACATAGATACAGCCAGTTTCGACTGTAACCACAATCCAGGTATAACGCTGCAGAAACCTCACCCAAAACGAGCACAAACTGAGTCTGTTTAAAAAGACAAAACAAAATATATATATATATATCTATATATGTGCCAGTTTCTTTTTGGGGAACCAAGAGATTCCTTTGGTGAGCCTATGAAAGGTTTGAAGTGAATTTTGAACTTAAACCTGCTGCATTTTAACAGCATTTACTGCTGCAATACGCTAATTAAAAGTTTAAGACCTTTTAATGAAGTTCAAAGCCTACGACTCTTGAGATAAAATTGTTTTTATAGTTGTTTTTGTTTTCTCGTCATTGTTTATTAGGACTTCCATTAACGTTTTTGATAATCGTAAGAGGATTTACAAAGAGTTTCTTTAAGCTACTGCTCTGTTTTACAACTTTGCTTGTTCATTTTTCTTCCGATATCACATATCATTGAGTTACTGACACTCATTTTTTATCGACTTAAATGGTTTATAAAAAGGGATTTTAGACTTTTTAACGTCAAGATCTGATTCTTTATTCTCCCCTCAAGAAGTGACCTATTTCCTTTTAAATTAGTTACGAGAATTTGGTGTTAGATCACAATAACAACTTCTACTTGATAAGTTTGAGTATTCTCGTTACCTGTTTTCTGAACAATGTATGGATATTGTAGGGAGAAGTTACAAGTTAATCACTTTGGGAGTTTATGGCAAAACACAAAAATTTAGATGACTCTACACCGATGTTCCTCGGCCTTTCAGTGCATGACAGACAAAACCAAAAACAGAGGCTGCTCACGACTGAACTGTGAATAACGATTACAAGCGAGCAACTTTCTTCATTTTCACCCCTCCGATGGGGAAATAAACGAACAAATTCAAACAAAAGGAAACCTGCCAAATATATATTATTTGTAATCCTGTTGAAATTGACCTGCATGTAGAAGTAATCACCAAATAAGCACTACTTTTTTCACAACCCTGCAAAATTAACAACAATAACAACACAAGAAAACGGAGATGACGAAAGAAACGACTCGTTGAGCTGAACTTGCTTATTTTTTTCACCTCACAAATTGAACCAAGGCCCATGGACGTCGACAAAACAACTCAAGTGTTTGAAAAGTGCAATATTTATTCAAGATTGAAAAGTTTAAGCACGCAATCAGTTCTATTATCGAGAGAAATGTTTTCAGTATGACTTTAAGAGCCACTTCCGTTACGTAGTTAACAAAACAAGCTAACCAATCACATTACGTGAAACAAACAATAATTTCAAATCAAATTTAGTTCTATCGATCAGTGCTCTGAAGAAGGGCTAACACTCAAAACGTCGGCTACAGAAACCCTTTGCGGTGACCCAATTTATACTATAAACTTAGTTGATAAAACCAAATTAGTTTGCAGTACTTCCCCAATGACGTAGCACCACAGTTTCTCAAGACACGTACCCTCTTTATTTAATGATTTCAATTCATTTCTAACAATCGGTGCCTAGAACCAAAGCAAGCAAATTAATGCGACATAAAATTCGGAAGGAATTTATTGGTCTTATACTTCAATTGGCTAGGTCAGTTTTCAGCATGTTTGCCCAATGAGAGAAGTTTCAGAGTAAAAAATAAAAAAAAAAGAAGAGAAAGGCTCTTATTAGTGGGTTTGGTACGTTTTTCAAATAACAAACTTAACGCAAAACTAATTTTACATATTTTACATACATCTTGCTACTGGAGAGAACACGAATATCGTCTACACTGTATGAAAGTACAATAAATGTGTAACATGTACCTATTGACAAAGCGGAAGGGCCAAACGGGAAAATATTTTCCTCGAGGTCATGAGCGCAGCGAGGTCCGTGCGTCATGACTGAGAGCCGATTATTTTCCCGTTCGGCCTGACCAACCTTAGTCAATAAGTATTTTATAATGACTGCCGTTCTTTCCTTATCTTCCTTTGCTATTTTGGCTCGCATCTCGCAAGGATGTCCGGTTTTGTACGGCCCTGCTCGCACCAACGCGTAAGGTCCGCGCACGGGGGCTATTGGAAGATTTTTTTTTCATTAAAGGCGCGTGCGAGGCCGAACGGGTCATATAATAAAATATCAAATTAAAAGAACATTATCCTTACTTCATTCATAAATTTTTCTACTGCCACGACTTCAAAAATGAAGACTTGATAAAATGGTTTGCCTAAAGTAATCTCTGTCTTGCTACTATTCAGTTTCCTACTATTTTTTCGTCAACATTTTTATCCCTTCACCATTAAATAAGGTCATTAAATACCAAAACATTACACGTCAAAATAATTAATTTGAGTCTCATTTACTCGTCCATTCCAGTATCCAGTCATGCCAGTCCAGTCTACGCTTCCTTTTTACCGCTCTCTTTCTTACTCCTATTTTGCAGGTAAGTTTTAATGTAAAAGTTGGCGAACAATCCCATCAGACTGAAGGCGTAAAACACCATGACCCATTTCGCCCAAGTTGGATATTTACAACCGTGGTCCAACAAGGAAAAAATGCCAGAAACTATGACCACGGCAAATTGCGTCTAAAAACAAGGAGACAAAGAGGCCATCACAACACGAACCGTACTGCACACATTTCTATTGTAATCCCAACGGCCAATCGAAACAAAGGAAAGCATTACAAGGGAACAATGAAAGCTCCTGATTGGCTGATTAGGAAGCACGAGATTTCTGGACATATCACAGAACGTAGTAAAGAAATCCAATCCAGTCGTTACAAACGAGGCTTAATCAAAAAATTGCTCCAAGGCATACTCCTGTTTTTAGAAAAAAAACACACTGTAATGTTCAACTATTTCACTTCCAATGCATATTATCTCTGCTAACCAACGTATGTTCCTTTCCGGTACCTCACTTTCGTGAGAAACTATCATTGTAATACAATTTGTCATAGCTATGGAGCTCCGCTGCGCGCGATAAGGGCTCCGCTGTTAATTTTATATTTCTTCGTGCATCAAGACTACGTTTGTTGAAGCCAAAACAGCTGAAATATCTTGACATGTCTACCTGAAAAAGTTGTCATAACTAGCTCCCTTATTGAATAACTACCCCTAACTAAACGCAATGAGTCCTGAGATCTCTTCACTAAAGTTACTACACACACATTTGTATGGGTTTCGCCCTGAGCGAAAGCAATGCTTAGAGGTTAGACCATGAACAGCATCTATATAGTGTGGTATTACATTAAAGTTTGAGTAATTAAACAAATCATGAGCTTTCTATGTTGATTGTAAGATCAATCCTTCTATACCATATCCAATTTTTTTTTCTCAGCGCAAACACACAGTAGACGAAATGCATTGCGTACATGCAATAGTCACAGGTTTGGGTGAGGCGAATTCTTAGAGTTTGGCAACACATTTTGAACAAGACCAAAATTGGCCGCTGAAAAATTGCGCACTTGCTTAAAAATGATTAAAAAAAAAAAAAAGAAAGAAAATCCCACGATTTTAATCCAAAGTAAGTACAACTAGACTTCCTTCTCTGAGAGTTCCAGACTAAGAAACTAAACACACATCGTATTCGCAAATGATAACGCGAGGTCTATAGCTAACTATCCTCATCAACTTTAAAACCCAACGGAAAAAAATGCTGCGTCCATTCAAAACAAGTTCCGCATATACCTGCTATACTCGATCGATAAATTCCACCATTCCAAAGACGACTCAGAAAGTTACATCAAATGATCAGATTAATGGATTATTTTTGTTGAGAGTAACACATTTCACCGAGGTTTTTACGTTGTTATCACTTAGTACATTAAACGCTGTGCTATCAAAAAGCTGCAATACCCCAATGTAAAGTTGATGTTAATTCAAAACTTGAGTGAGTTAACAAGAGACCAGGCAAGTAGACAGATAATATTACAGTTTTATTCAAGTCTCAAAATTGAGCACTTATTCAAGTTAACTTAGTCTAAGTTAAATACACACGAGCTTTTCTTTAAGCAATCTTTACGGCTTGCTCACACCTGCGGTTGTTAACTCTCCCCTTTAGCTGCTACATATTTCCGTGTTAATTGGTAACAATTACTAATTAGTTATTGGTGTTAGATCAAGATAACAACTTGACATAATTATTGAGTATTCACATTAGCTATGTCATGGCTTGATAATGTATGATATTAAAGGGAGAAGTTGAATGTTAATACCTTCTGGAATTTAATGGTTAACGAGATTCCTAGCCAAAGACAGCAGCTCAAAACACTTCAAGGAGACCGGCTACACAACGGGAGATGAACCCACCTTTTTCTTCATGCATGAAAGGGGATGTGGTGAGGTAAAGAGATTCAACAATCAAAGTAATCCCACTATTTGGCAATTAAATGTAGATACTGCATTATTCTCCAGACAAATGATCAATTGGTTTTAACCATTTCTGACTGTGTTATCCATCGGATACCAGTCCATAAAAAAAGTAAAAAGAGAGAACTTGGTCCATGTAATCAATATCGCATATGATTGGCTGTTTCTTCGCATGCTCGAATGATGACCAATGAGAGACATCGTACCGTCCTCTCAGGATGACGTCATTAATTTGGGTTTTTACTTGTTAAATCACAGACCTTCTCCGAACACGCCACTATTATGCGCACAATTTAAGGCCCAAGTTCACCCAACTGCAATTGCATGCTTTTCCATTTTTGCAATGTCCTGATTGGCTTATCATTTAATTCCCTCGTGATAATTCTTCCCCAATCGAAATTCCCCTAAGTGACAGTCGACCATTAAAGCTATTTCCCAATGAGGTTCCTTATGACAACGCGTTCAAAGTTGAAACAAATTTACTTACCAGTTGAAGCCTTGTGATGTAACGCTTCCACCAAAGGTAAGGCCGCATTTGAGGACCGATCGCAGACAAACCATAATAAGCATACATGATCACGTGAACAAAGCTATTGCATGTTGCACCAAAGTAAGCTGGGGGGAAGAAAAACATAACCTTTGTGAACTTGTTATAAATTGAGACAATTCTGGGTAAAGTGATTCAGGATTCAAAAAAAGAAAGTATACTTACAGACACCACCTAGAAAAAAAAAAAAAGGGAAAAAATTTGATGTCAGTAAAAAGAAACTTTCAAACAAACTCAAAATTTTAAGGAGTTTGCAACGAATACTATTCAAAAAATTTTCCATTTCTTCAAAGTTAATGTTCGCGTCATTGAAACTGTCCCTTTTCACTATGCACTTCTGCTACTCAAACCGTTTAATCAACTCCCTCAAAGTAATCGAGTTATTTTACTTCACAGATGGTTCAGCTCTCAATTCGCCCTCGCTTCACGAGAAAAAGAAATTGAATTCCCAAGACCTTTGCATTGCCACGACGAGGGCATCCTTTACTCATCACAAGGTGCAAAGTTCTATTAAAAATACACTCCCCCCTCCCCCTTCCCACTCAGTCACGCGTTGCTCCCTTCTCTCCCCCTCTCCACTAACCGGGTATCCATTTGCAAACCATCCACCAGAGCACACACATGCTGGCGTGATGATACACGTGCAAGAATGTCACTTGGTTATTCTTCTTGCGGAGAATGAAGAAAAACTGAAAATAACACCACAAAATTGTTATCATCCGTCATTACGGACGAACGCCACAGGAATGTCGCCCCTCTATTTAAATGTCCCTCCGCGCAGTATTACGACGGATGCGCAAGATGAACTGGGAAAACTTAGGCATGATACCACATGGCTAAGGAACGTACTGGGTTCAAATTATTTTACTTCTTCAAAGTTTGATTCTACGAGATTAGTAATACAGAAAGACAAGGGCTGACTGGTCAAGTGAAAAGGCGTGTTACCGTCTCAACCAATCAGATAAAAAAAACTAACACCAGTGGAGAGTTGTAATAGCAACTTTCTTTCTCGTTGGCCGCCGTTATAACTTAGGTTTAAAAAGTGAACTTCAGCAATCAAGAATGCAACACCAAGGTAGACATCGATTGAAAAGTGAATTTATATTTTGAGCTAGAATTTCGCGAATGGCTGGATGCGGTTATCGTCTCTTACGGCACCACACCTTAGCATAACGAATGGGAGCACTGTAGAGTTCCAAATGGAAGTTTAAACGATTTGCCGTCGGGCTTTCCGTGCTTTACCACGGAGATTCCAGTTAAAAAATGTAAAAAGTTTTAAAATACACGTGCTGAGCTATTATTCTGGCTATTAGATCTTTTGTTTAGCCACGTTTCCGTAACCGTTATGGTTTTGTTAGGGTCCCTTTAATTTGATTTACGACACACGATCACAACTGCCCAAAGCACACTTACAGTATCAAGATATTCCAAAAACTTTGACAGCCAATATACATAGCAAACTCGAGCCAGCTAGGTAGAAGAAAGAGAAAACAAAACAATTTGAGACAAATACTTTGCGTTGCATTTAAAATATACGTCTATTTCGGGGTAACTCACTATGCACGGATGGGTTCTTTGCTATTCTATCGTCCTTTTCAACCTCGCCATCTTTCGCCCCTGTCCACTTAATGGCTCGTAAATGCGCTACCCATAATTCATTAGCACTAGTTACTTTGTTTGGTCTCGAGTCATAGTTACAGTTGTTACAAACACCGTGTTCTCCCTTATTTAACGCACGACAAGTAAACGAAAATTTCAAACTAGCAGAGCAATCCTTTTACTTGTTGAATTTGCAAGAACTCCAAGCCTTTTTAGATGGTAATAAGTAGAAGTAAGATGAATTCCAGACCTTACATTGAATTACCTACCCGGTTTTGTCTTGCATCGTCACGTACGTAAGGCACTGAATCACAGAGAAGATTAAAGTTGGGAATATCCAGAACAGAGGCAATGAACTACAGAGTAAAACAAGCAAGAAGTGTCAGGTACAATGTATCTTCTGAGAAGCACTTTCCCAAAAGGTGACTTCGATTCACATCAGTCGATCATACTATGAAATACATCATCAAGGGGGTAAGTTTCTAAAGAATCTGTGGTGCTGTGTTGGTGGGGGTAATAAGGTAATTTTGGTTTTATCGGCTGAATTGATAATGTACATTGGCCACCGTGAAGGGTTTCAAAGCTGACGTTTCGAGTGTTAGTACTGAGAAGACAGATACTTTAAACAAGCGAATTCTTAGAGTTATCTTGCAGGATTATAATTCTCCCTATGCCTCTCTACTTAGCAAAGTTAACTCCAAATCTCTGCATAAAAGACGCCTTCAGACTTTCTTAATTATATTGTACAAGAGCTTGTTTTTTAACTGCTATCCAGGCTATGTAAGGAATATGTTTTGTCTCTACCGTCTACAAAAACTACTACTTATGGTCTTCACTCCTTTTCATAAATGGCTTCAAAACTATGGAACTCTCTTCCAGACTCTTTTAGAACGTCTGACTTTTCTGATTTTAAGCGCAAGATTCTACAGTACAGTAGAATGTTACAATTTTACATTTTAGTAGTATTTAGAACTATACTTGTAACTCGAAGATACTAGCTTATCCTTTAGCTACTCCAAATTCGAGATTAAATAAAGTATATGTATGTATGTATGTATTGCAGTAAATGGTTTGAACCCGGGGAAAACATACGAAGGTGTAGTCTGATCGTCCGGGTGAGTGTAGTCCTGAGAAGGACTGT